TATATGCATAAATATGAATTAAAAAAATTTTTAAAATAAATACATACATAATTCCTGGTAAAATGCAAAAAAAAAGCTGAACAAAATAAAATTTGTTTAACCTCTCCATAACGAAGTTTTCTGCCGGCACACCAACGACTTCGTTCTAGAGAGGTTTATATACACACATATACGTAAATATTTACTGCGTTGTGTATAACAAAAGCAACCAAAATGAGTACATCAAATAAATAAGCTTTTTTTTTTGTCTATTTTTTACTTTTCATTTAAAAACCTATATACATAGTTTTATTTATTATTTATTATGTATGAGCTACCATAAAAAAACAACAAAACCAACAACTGTTCATAACGGGTTAAATAAATCACAAAAACAACGTAATATTGAGAAATCAAGCTGTGCAAAACAATAGCAACTGAGGCAAGAGAGACCAAAGTGCAATCCAATGTGGGATATTTTTTGGTTTGGTATAAGTATATGAATAGTTCAATATTGTATCTGCCAGTGGATACACATTTTTGTCATGGCTCGTGACAAGTTTACTCTGCAGTTTAAAGCTACAATAATTCAAGAATATTTAAATGGCAGTGCTCAAAATGAAATAGCAAAAAAATATAAAATTAATAAATCTATTGTTTCGCGGCTTATAAAAAAATATAACTTAACAAATTCCGTCGAAACGGTTCATCTGGGTGGGGCCCGTCGTAAGACTACCCCTAGAATTGATCGAAACATTATAAGAATTATAGAAAAAAAACCATTCATGTCGTCGAAAAAGATCGTAGACGAGCTTAAACTAGGTGTGGATTCTAGTACTGTACGTAGGCGTGCTCTCGAAGCAGGTTTCAAAAGCAATAGACTAGCTAAAGAACCAATGTTAACTAAAAAGCATTTGCAAGAGAGGTAGATATTGTGTTTTGCTCTAATTAATATTAATATATTTCTTTTAGATTAAATTTTGCGCGAAATCACTCACATTGGACTGTTGTTAAATGGAAAACTGTTCTTTTTAGCAATGAATTGAAATTTAATATCTTTAATTCTGATGGAATGTGCACAGTACGCCACGAAAAAGGAAAACATTTGCATCCAAGTAACCGTCAAGTGACGGTGAAGGATGAGGATGGGTCAATAATGATTTGGGCGTGCTTCTCAGGATTTGGACTTGGTCCTTTTCATCAAATTCATCAAATAATGGACGAACATGTGTACAAAGATATTTTAGAAAGCCATATGCTCCCACATGCCGTATGGGAAATGCCACTTCGATGGATATATCAGTACGATAACCACTCAAAACACCACTCAGAGCTGGTAAAGGAATGGTTTTTGAACAATGGAATTAAAGTTTTAGATTGGCCGGCCCAATCGCCTGATTTGAATCCAATTGAGAACCTTTTTAATATTCTCAAAAGTCGTATTAGGAATCGAAAGTTTCTTAATAAGACCGAATTGTTTGAGGTCCTCAAAGACGAATGGCATAAAATTCCAACTAGTTCGATTGACAATTTAATATCATCTATGCCCTACAGGTGTGACCAAGTAATTAAGAGTAATGGGTATTATATATTAAATTAAAAAATATTATAAAATATTAATATAATAAATGAAGTTGCTATTGTTTTCAACAGCTGCATTTGATAATATTACGTTGGTTTTGTGAATTATTTAACCCAATTTGAAGAATTATTGGTTTTGTTGTTTTTTAGGGTAACTAAGACTATAACAAATAATACTATATATTGGTTGTTATATTTGTTATGCTTAACACTCTACATATTATGTTCTTAAAATATTCATTATTTATAAGACATACCATTAAAATTCAATAAAATTACTTTGACATTCTTTTACTTTTGAATTGGATGTTTCAAAATCTACCGCCTATTGGGAATTTCAGAAAGATACCCAACGCATAACAATACTCGAATTTCTTATATTTAGTTTGAAATATGATTATATTGAAATTATATATTAAAATAATTGGATTAATATTTTAATTTTATTTATTAAATTTATTATTTATTAAATTTAACAATTAAAAATAAAAATATAAGTTCATTATTCTACAACTGGTTTATGATTTGGCTCTAATATAAACACAGCAAGTGAATTTGTTAATAAAACTTTCACATCAAAGTAACAAAACTCCAGAAAAAGTGCGAACTGACCCAAAGTCAAGTACGACTTTGAGTCAGTTGGTTAAGGAGTGCTGACTCTGAGCTGCAAATTTGGCAGGGCACGACTTCGATTCCTGCTACTTGCAGTCTCAAAAAATTATTTACGAATAATTAAATACAAGAATTATTTCCAAGACCACTGATGATGGGTATTTGACAATACTCTAAACAGTTGCATAGTCAGCCAAAAATTCAATTAAATAAAATAATATAAAATTTAATTTTGTTGCTGTAATTCACTACTGTTCAAAAAACTTATTTTATTTATTAAGAAATACTTGGAAATATTGAAACAAATACAAATAACAATAAAAGAGTGTAATAGATGTCTTGGATCATGGAGTACCATTGTCCTTTCTAATGTGTCAATCCAAAGTAATACTTATACTGTAAATATTAAGTATTTATATATAACATATTATATTTTGAATATTTATAACAATTAATACACACAATACGAATGAACTGCAAACTTTTGTACGAAAAATATAATTGAAGTGGAGGAAAAATAAAAACAATGACATACGTTTCCAAACCAGTCTCTGGTTTTTGTTTTGTATTTACTGGTTTGTGAAAGCAAAACCTCCAATTCATTTTTGGAATGCAAATGTACACGTAATAACTTTCAAGATAAATTCAATGTACATTTTATTTGAATTTGCTCTATTAAATTCGCGTTCATATTTTATTCGGACTATCTAGAAGTCATGCGAACTAAAAGAATGCGATTTGATGCTTAGCAATAGACCACAAAACTGTTAGTTGTTAAATTAAATTACTTTCATAATTATTTTATACCGGATAGGTCTTAAATAAAACAATAAAATTAACAATGAAAAATATTTGTCTTGGTCCATTAACTACTGTTGTAGCTTTTAGGTTACTATTGTAAATTAAATAATATAAAGCAATAGCTGTTTCTAGTATAAGACGTTAATGAGACAACTTAAAGCCGATTTCACAGTCGTAACTTAAGTCTCAATATAGTCTCAATAAATCTGCTTAAATGACCATCTTTGCTGACTTAATTTAAATTTAAGTCAATTTTGAGACTTAAGTCACGACTCTGAAATCTTGAAGTTATCTTCAACTTATAGCTTGAAGTTATCTTTTTAAAGTCTTACACTAGAATCAGCTCTAATCGGCCTTAAATATATGTAATATTACTGTTTAGTATGTGTCTTTCAAACATAAACTAAAATTATTTTCACACAAAATTAATTTACATAATAGATAAAATAATTTATTTATGTTGTTTGGAATTAAAATACTTTTTGTTACATGCAAGTTTAATATAAGTTCAAGTCTAATGAAAGTCAGTATAGATTTCTTTGTATTAATTTTCTTTTATTGTAGTAATAGCCTATTCACACGGTAAAAGTTAATCGTGTTTCCGCGATTAATATTAAATCAGCACATATACGACATTTTTGTTGATGTGATCTGTAATCAACTATTTTGAAGAGGTATGCAAACAAGGAAAGATATAGGTTTATAAGTACAAAGTGGTGTTAAAAACATAACTCACCAGAAATTTTAGGAATATCTAATAGCACAAAGAAAAAAAAACCAAAAATCGGTTGAAAACAACAAACAGTTGGACAAGAGCAACAATTCAATGGTTCAGTAATTAATGAAGATTAATTTGTGCCGTGATGAACCAGTACTGGGAGTTTTTAAGAGAAAAGTTTTTCGTAAGATCTTTGGTCCTCTACGCGTTGACGACGACTATCGCATATGAATGAACCACAAGTTGCATGAGCTTCATCACGACATTGATATAATTCTGCAGCTTCGCTGGTTTGGTGATTTCGTGAGAATGGATGAAGAGGCTCCAGTTAAAAAGGTATTTGAGTTTGAAATGAGTTTGAAACTCACTTAAGTCTGTGGACCATTGTGCTACTATGGGGATTTTTGTCATTTTCTTATATATTTCTGCTGAACCAATTGATTTCAGTAACAAAACTATAAAATATATAAAATCAACCGTGCCTAGCTTCTTAAGGAGTTAACACTTTGTCTAGAGAGTCGAATAAATGTCTCATGATTTTCTTTATGCACTTATCCTGGTATACTATCTTTTGGGAATTGTACTTCTACAGTCTCTATCACAATAGCTCTCCGCCTTATATCTTCCTATCTCCATACATTAAATACAATATTCCGCTATATTCTCTATCTCAATAGGGTTCCGCCTAATATCTTCCTATCTCAATACATTCAATGCAATACTCCACTACATTCTCTATCTCAATAGGTCTCCGCCTTATATCTTCCAAACAGTATTCATTAACTAACTGACCCAAAACCGCACTTGTCTTATATTAATCTAACTTGGAGTTCTAACGATGCCAAAATATTGTTTAAGGGAAATAATATTTCGTGTTTTCTAATCAATTATCTATAATCTAGTGAACTATAGAATAACTAATCAATAATTCATAAATATATTTTATCTGCAATATACAAATATTTATCGCTATTTTGATAGACATTATGGGAATGTTGAGGAATACCCACTGCAAACTAAGAAATTACATTTTCTCTCTAGAAAATGTAGTAAACTCCAATAACCTACTTTTTTATATTTTTGCTTATAATGCTTTCACTTATTCTTCCTTCCTATACCCGCCGATATAGAAGTAAATTGTAAATAAATAAGTGTAATATTATACATTCTATTAAAATATAATAAAAAATATAACTCTATTTGTTTGTTTTTCGTTGTTAAATATTACGTAAAGCGGATGAAAAATTATTACCATTCATAATCGCAAAATAAATAAAATTTCACACAAAGAGCAGAAAATTCCACTTACCGCGTTTCGTTATCAGTGTGACTGCCGCGGCTGTGATTCCCTTCATCTTAAGCACATGACTTTCGATTTTATGCACACACGATGAGCATGTCATGCCAGAGATCTCAATTTCCACCTCAGCTTCCCCATTATCAGGTTCGTCAATCAACTCCGCTGGAAAACCCAATTCCGTAATAGATTTGGCAATGTTCTCCGCCGTCAATACATTCGCATTATATTTGACTTCTGCTTTGGCAGCGAGCAGAGCAACTAAAATACTGTCTAATCCATAAATTTTGCGACAATGTTTCTCAATAGCAGCCACGCAACTGGCACATGTCATGCCACGTATATGCAGAAAACATTTGGATAATTCCTGTTCAACTGGAACCACAACGGTACCATTTGCTGGTGACGCTTGCACAGATACCTGTTGCTTCTGTGCTAAAGGAGTATGTTCAGGTGAAGAAAGCATTTGTTTTGCAGGCGAAGTGCGTGGAGTTGTATGTGTGCTTTTGGCATTATTTGTTACACTGGCTTCGAATCCCATGTCGTCAATCATATCAGCGATTTGTGTTGGCGTAAATTGTGTAGCGTCATACTCCACAATGGCATTCTTATCTGCTAAACTAACCCTAATGCTGTGTACGCCTGGTTTGGTGCCTATATTGCCTTCAATATTACGCACGCAGGACTGGCACGTCATTCCAATGACGCGTATATTTGTTGTAGCTTTTGTGGGTGTTGTGCTTTTGTTCTTATCAACTATATTTACAATATCAACTGGTTTATATGGGCAATCGAAACCCATTTCTTCTATTTCAAAAGCTATATTCACTGGATTTGTTATATTTTCATCATAATCGAAGTATCCTGCATTTTCTTCCAGTACAACCCGTACGCCCACAACTCCCGCACAGCTGGCGATTTTGCTCTGTATGCTGTTCACACAACTCTGGCATGTCATGCCCACAATTGGTAGGCGCACTTGTTTTGTTGTTTTCACTGGCGTTTGTGCGTCGTCAATCAATAAATGCTGTAATTCCATTGTATTCATTTGGCCAATTTCGTTAAATTCATCTAAATCTGAAACTTGTTGGGCAGTATCACTACTACTATTATTATGATTTCCTCCGTCACTATTAAACGAAGTGAAAGGAATTAAATTAGCGCCCGACGAATTCATTTTATTGCACTTCGAACTCTTTCGTCACACTTCAACTCCCGTGCCCCCGTTAATAAAAAATATATTTACAATTTTTACATTAAATTTAGATTTATATAAAATAAAAAAAAAATTGTGCACTATTAAATATAAATATCCGCAACACTACCGAATTGCATTAGAAATAAAATAACACCTCTCGCTCTGCACACCAACAACTAAATAAAAATAGTCCATTCACAATCATCTGCTGTTGAGAAATGAATTGACGACGAAGAGTTGCCAACACTTTTAATAGCCAACCAAAGAGTATAACGAGCAGATGCAGTACGTGTGCAAAAATGTATGCTTGTTTGCGAAATTAATTAATATTCATTAAATAAATTATTGAGAAGTTGATTGGAAAAATATATATATCTAAAAATAACATATTCTTCTGAGTCATCACCACCTTGCAGGCTTAATAATACTATTTAAAATAATATTTGTCTCATGAGTCCTTTATTGTGTAATTCATAAATTACATTTTGTGTTAAAAAAAGCAATTGTGTTTGGTTCAATGTGTTTGAAAGTAATTAGGAGTAGATAGTTGCTAATTAATTATTTTGCACACTACACTCTATTCACAATAACTCTAATTTAAAACTACTTTTATCGTGTGCAAAAGCATATAACTGGTTTTTTGTTGTTGTAAGCAATTTGCATAAAGCAATAATTAATCTGGTAACTGCAAAATTTGACAGAGACTTAAAAGCTTAAATAAAATTAAATAAGTCAAGTTATTTGATTGAAGACAATATTACTCTAAAATATTTTGGGTAATTTATTTGTAGAATATGAGTTTCAAAAATAATAAAATTATCCTTCTCAAAACTTTGTAGCATATGTTTAAGTTTTTTAAATATAATGTTTAATAATATTTAAAAAATCATAAAAAATATACAGTAGCTCACAGTTTATTTGATGAAGACCAAAATTTTTTGAGTTTCATTTTATTCAAAATTTTTGCAAAATTAAAAAAAATACACAGTTATTGTTTATAGCGTTTTATTTCATTTTCAAAAACAAGAACCCAAAATCTTCTTCCATTGCTTAGTAATACAACAAAAACCAAAAACAAATGAAAACAGCTTGTGTTGCATATTTTATATTATTATAAAATATACTAATTTATAAAAAAAGAAAATACAAAATTTTGATAATCGAAGAAGATCTCGTTGACTTCATACTAAATTGTATAATTATATATTTATTTTCCAGATAGATAAAAAGCATCGAGACACCACTATGTGGGACTACTAAAACCACTTTTTATGCAAAATGGATGAAAATCAGTCATTAAACCGTAAAGATCAGTAGCTGAAATCCCATTGCAGTAATCAATGGGAATAAAGATTGCTTAGCATTCAAACTTTAAACATATCTAAGTCAAAATTGGAAACAAGTGAGAAAAGGAAAAGAAGATGTTATGCTAGGCAGTGATTACTGACTAAGAATAAACTCTAGAATAAGTGTTGTTGCAAGCACAATTGTAGAGCAGGTTTACAGGAGAGACGCGGACGATGTCGTTTAGATAAATTGATAGAAATTGAGAAGGCTTATACCTTATGTTATTAGGCAGGCCGGTGAATAATTATATACATTAAGACCGAAAAGTTTTCGGAAATTCTCATTTAAAATTCGCGCGCTGTATATTTTTCGATATTTTAAGTTTATGTAGTTTGGCAGCACTGTCCTTAATTACTATGCCAAAAATGAGCGCGATCTGTCAGACAGTTCGTTTACGGCAGCTGTTGAAACCAGTTCACCTCAGTAGGGCGTTGCGAAAAAAACAATGGAAAAAAATATTGAACAAAGAGTTTGCATCAAATTTTGTGTTTCGAACGAAATTTCGTGTGCAGAATCGTTGCGAATGCTACAAAAGGCTTATGGGGAATCAGTTTTATCGAAAACTCAAGTTTATGAGTGGTACAAAGCCTTCCAGGACGGTCGTACGACCGTCGAAGACATTTCGCAACGCACTACTGAGGTGAACTGGTTTCAACAGCTGCCGTAAACGAACTGTCTGACAGATCGAGCTCATTTTTGGCATAGTAATTAAGGACAGTGCTGCCAAACTACATAAACTTAAAATATCGAAAAATATACAGCGCGCGAATTTTAAATGAGAATTTCCGAAAACTTTTCAGTCTTAATGTATTAATATTATATGTTATTTTCCAGCTTTCTGGTTATGAACATAAACACGTCATAATAATTCTGAATTGAACTCTCTTAAAACATTTGTTTTATTATATATATATTTCGTCAGGAAGATATAATGGGCTTCAAATTATATTCTAGAAACATTGGGCGAAATAGGATTATACAAATTTTTTAATAAAGCAAAATTATATCTACTCCTAAAAAAACTTTATTTATTTAATAATTTAATATAAATATTTAATAAAAATTTTATTTATTTATTAAAAAATTGTTTATATTAAGTGGTTTTTTTCGTTATAACTGACTTTAAACTTAAAAATTTAATACAGAATTATATCTGTCAAGAAGGTCTCCATCCAAAAAAGATAGATCAGAATGTCTATTTCTCGTTATTTTAAAAAATATTATTAAATCTTGTAGTCCTTGTTATTATTAAAAGGATTATAGTTAATCAGCAAAGTGCAGAGGTGGTGAGTTCCTTTGGGGGTGGTGAAAAGTAGTTGGTTGTTGAAATTGACGCGTGGCTGTGGGACGTAGACCCGACCGTTCTTGGAATCCCACGTAAATTATATTTGTTATGGTAAACTTCTTATTAAATTTGGGATATAAAAAGTGCTAATTATATATAATTTTATATCATCTTATTTTAGTCTATTTTATCTAATATTTATAAATAGATCTAAATAAAAATATGTATAACATTTTCAGTACAATATATTGTAAAATAAAAGTATTTTTATGTTGTTACGCAAATGATTTAATTTTTATATTCAATTACAACGAATTTTATATATTTATATATATTATTGTAAATTGCAAAAAAAAAAGCCAAATAAAAACAACAAAAAAAGAATATATAGATATATAACTATGAAATTCATACAGATAAAATTTTCTATAAAGGTAAAAAATAAATATTTTTAAATGTTTTCATTCCAGTATTTTATAAAACAGCGGCATTTGCTACCACACTCGGATTGTTGACAACTTCACCAAGAGCATCCAATACTTCTTTACGATAATCATCGAAATCACCATCAATTTCGTTAATAGTTTGTTCTTCTATCACATACAGCGTGCAATTTGTATCTCTTATGAGGCGTTCGTCGTGAGATACTATCACAACTCCACCTTCATACTCATTAATAGCTTCGCCAAGTGCATCAATAGATTCTATATCTAAATTATTTGTAGGTTCATCTAATATAAGCACATCGGGTGCACTCAAACAAAGTTCGGCCAATGCTACACGTGCCTTTTGTCCACCCGACAAATCTTTCATTTTGATTGTATGTGCATGACTTATAAGACCAAAGGAGCCTAAAGCTTTACGCGCTTTTTCGTGTTGTAAATTGAAGAGACGTTGCAAGTATTCAGCAGCTGATTCTTCTGCAGTTAAATGTTCACCGGAATGCTGATCAAAACGTCCTATTCTTAATCTATGATTTTTACGTGATTCACCTTTTTGTGGATCCAATTCACCTAAGAGTAGTTTCAGGAATGTTGATTTACCAACACCATTAGGACCAACTATAGCAACACGACTCGAAAGATCAATACCAAATTCTGTATTTATAAATAAAGGTTTTTGACCCTCAAATGCAAATGTAACATTGTGCAAACCAAGTATTGGTGGTTGTAATTGTGTAGGTTCCGGAAAGCGAAATTTAACAATATATTCTTTTGGACGCTCAAGCAGTTCTTGTGGTCCATCATCTTCTTCTTGTTTCTGTTGTTTTGATCTACCTTTTTCTTGTTTGCGTGTGAGCGCTTCCTTTTGTTTCTTCTCTGCAGCTTTCTTAGACTGGCCATGTGCTTTTAATTCCTTAATACGCTTTTCCTGCTTTTCATATTCTTTTATCATTTCTCGTCTCTTTTGCACATACATCTTCTTGAACATCGAATAATTACCCTTATAATAGTACAATTTTTTCGTATCCAAATGTATGATTTCATTGCAAACATTATCGAGGAAACTTTGATCGTGAGAAACTATAAGTAAAGTCTTTTTCCAGCTTTGTAAGTAATTATCTAACCAAATGACAGCATTTAAATCTAAATGATTTGTAGGTTCATCAAGCATTAAGAGTGTTGGTTCTAAATATAAAGCACGCGCTAAGGACACGCGCATACGCCAACCACCAGAAAACTTGTTTGTTGGTCGATTTTGCATTTCCTCGCTGAATCCTAAACCAGCTAAGATTCTACGTGCACGTGCTTCTGCAGAATATGCACCAATTGCTTTCAGCTCTGCATAGACAGCAGACATTTCTTCTTGTACACTCATATCGCCACTAGCGAATTGCTCTTCCAGTTCTTTACTTTTTGCTAATAGCTTAGTACGTTTCTCATCTGCTTCGAGAATTGTTTCAATCGCTGACTTGTCGGTTGCTACGACTTCTTGTTCACAGAGCAGCACATCTATATTTGGTGGTATGTTGAAAGCTTTTGAAGCTATATGGCGTAATAATGTAGTTTTACCATGACCATTTGGACCAACAAAACCATAACGGCGACCGTTAGCAATAAGTAGATTTGCATTTACAAATAAATCATTACCTGAAATATAAAACAAAAACTTTTATTTCTGAATCTAACAAATAATATATAAACTCACCTTTTGCTGATATTGTAAAGTTTTCTATTTTAATATCTACTGCATTTTCTAATTGTTGTGCACTTTTCTGTACTTGTGATAAAGTGAAGTTGCTGTCCAAATCCGATTGTCCAGCGCCACCTTTTTTGGTTAAAAACTCTATTTGTTTTTCGTAGTCTTGTTGCTTCTTCTGTTTTTTCTTCTCCTTATGTGTTAGTTTCTTTCCTTTCGATTCTGCTTCAGTGCCAGCTTCGTCAACTTCTGGTTCTAAGTCTGAGCTTGGAGTTGCAGCTTCTTCAGCTGTTATAGTTAGATTTTCTACTTTTTGTATAATTTCAGTATTCTCAACTGTTGGCTTTTCTTCTAGTGGTTTCTGTTCTACATTTTTTGTTTTAACTTCAGTTTTGACTTCAGTTTCTGGCGTTGGGGTGTTATCGATTTCAACTTCATCTTCCAGCTCTTCTTCTTCCTCGCTTAGTTCAAATTTATTCTTCTTTTGCTGCTTCTTAGCAGCTTTCTTCGAAGCTGGCTTAGCAACTGGTATTGACTCATCTTCTTCACTATCCGTTTCATTCAATATTTGATTTTCGACTTCATCATCATCGCTAAAATCATCTTTTTTTTTAGATTTTTTACCTTTCTTCTGCTGCTTCTTAGCAATTGGTTTGGCTACTTCTACTTTTGTTTCAATGTCGTTTTCATTGTCATTGTCGCTTTCATTTTCACTCCAATCATCTTTTTTAGACTTTTTATTTTTCTTGTTTGATTTTTTTGTGGGTGCTGGTTTGTTAATTTCTTCATCTTCAATATCACTGTCATTGCGATGCTTGGCTGTTTTCTTCTTTGAGGAAACAGCAGGTTGTGGTTCTACATTTTGTTCGTCATCACTCCAATCGTCTTTTCGTTTGCCTTTTTTACCTTTTTTTGTTTTGGCATTGGGTTTACTACTTGATTTAACACTTTCCATCTCGTCCGTTTCATTATTTGCCGACTTCGTTGGTGGAATCTCACCATCACTGAAATCATCTCCACGTTTACCCTTCTTGCCTTTTTTACCAGCTTTCTTATTACTGGTATTATCTTCTATATCTTCATCTTCAGCAAAGTGTTCCTTTTTCTTCGATTTTGATTTCGACATATTTAATAATTAAAACTACACGTTTCTTAATAAAAATATATATAAAACAATTTAACTATAAATTTAATAAAAACTAAATCCAACTTTCACGTGGACGTGTGCAAATTCCAGCTGTAAACGTTTATTGTGAATGGCGTTTCGAAAAGAACAGGGTTGCTATTAAATGCTTGTCATAAGTTTTAAATTGTAACATAAATTATATATTTAATTATTAAACTGTTATTTAAATTAATTTTAACACAAAATTAATTTTATTACATAATTATATATGTAAATATCTTAATAATACAATATATTTCAATTGATGAACTGATTTTGCAATTTTACTTCAAGCAAATTCAAAAAATTTACTATTAGTTTTAAAAGATGAATAAATGAAAAATAACTGGAACTGTTTAATTTAATTTAATTTGGAATATAATAATTTATTAGAGGGATAATTAGTCATTTAATTAGACCCGTTTCAGAAGAGTTTCCCTGAAGATAACTATCGAAGATTATCGATATATCAGAAAAGAATTTTAATAAAATATAATTTGTTTTTATATATAAATAATAAATTATAGTTTTCTTATTTTTATTCAAATAGCCCAATTAGCCTGCTAATAAATAATTATATAATATTTTTGGTCGCAAATAAAAGAATAAAATTAATTTGAAATATATATTTTTCTTATAATGTAATAATGCTACGTTTGGTATATATTAAATAATTATCAAGCAAAAGTTTGTGAGAGATTAAGATTTTATATTATTGAGAAAATCTATTTTACGATTAGCACATAATATAAATGACTTTTTTTTAATTGATTTTTGTCGAATTACTGAATGTTGCAAAATATATTAATGTATGGAATATGTGAATGTGAATGGATATAATGAAGTCATAAACAAATATGATATAAGATGTAATTATTAAATACTAATAACATATGAAATTATTAATTTTTGTAAAATATTAAATTATCATATTAATATATAAAAAATATTTTTTTGACATTTCAAATGCATATACATATATATATACAGTGACGAACAAAATTATTGGCACAGCAAGCAAATTGAACTTTAGCGCTATTTTTATGCTGTTAATGATACAATTTTTAATAAACAAAAAATTTTTTTAGATAAAATGCTTAATTTGCTTTTAAATTCATTTTAATTAATTTTATTTTCTCTTATATTTAATTTTTTCAAATTAAAAAACCAAAAAAAGAACTAAATTTGGCTGAACAAAATTATTGGCACAGCTAACATAAAAATTAAAAAACTAATTACAAAAAAATATTTTTGATAACAATTAATATTTAGTGGCCAAGCTCTTCTATTTAATAATAGCTACTATTTGTTTTGGAATCGAAAAAATCACTTTTTGTGTGGTTTTTGATCCAAAATTTTGCCACTCTTCAGCAGTGCGTCCTTCAGTTCTGCCTTTGTTGTTATAATGGGCTTCTTTGGACGTCCTGTTTATTACTCGTAAACACAGGCAACATCCACCGAGAATAAGAGTTGGTGATATCGCGATTAATTGGGAGGATAGCATTAAATACTTAGGTATCACGTTTGATAAGCGGTTCACTTGACATAAGCATATACAAGTCAAAAAAAGCAGTTGCGCTAAAACACTGCAATGCTTACAACCACTTTTCAAACAAAACAACCTTAGCGCGAAGAACAGAAAATTGATCTATAGCCAGATAATTAGACCAGCATTATTTCATGGGTGTGTCGCGTATAGCAAAGCTGTCAACTCTACTATACAAAAGCTACAAGTTGCTCAAAGTCAGGCTCTCCAAAGAGTCTTCAAAGTGCCTTGGTACACCCACACAAACGACATGCTAGGAGACCTTAGAATAGACTGACCAAAAAATACATAAGGGACAGAGTCCTGAAGTTATATGCGAAAACTGACAGGCTATCCTACTTAGCACTATCAAATCTTAGAGAAATCACTCTCCGCACGGGGAGGTACGCAGATCTTAGATCAATCACTAAATAATCATGAAGCTTATAAGGAATACATAAATTAGCCAATGAGATGGGTGGGACCCTGTAGTACCCCCAGCTATCAAAGAGTAAAAGTGCCCAGGTGCGCTGACTCGAAAAAAGGATCAACATACTTATCATTTCATTTGATTTTGTATTTCCTTTGTTATAAAGAAAAAAGTCTTGGCGTGTTTTCTCATATGGATTAGGATGTCGGTAGGTGTTGGCAACATGAGAGGTAAAGGGAGTGTAAGAATGAATTGGGTATGGCTTGGATTTAAATTGGAGCTAACTTGGGTCAACGTGGAGAAATCCAATCACTTCAATGGGGCGGGTCCAAAAAATGATTTGACTCAACTTAATCTGTGCACTGAAACATGAAAGAAATGGGCGACGAATTCGGATGCAGTCACCTATAAGTTTATTGATAAGGATGATGCCAAGCAGTTCAACTAATGATTGTTACATCCTAAGCTGCTAAGAACTAATACATCAATTTAAGCCTAGAATTAATATCCATTTAGCATAAAAAATTGACATAAAAGTGCAGGAAGCAGAAATATTCTACAAAATTTTGACTTTGTGGATTTGTTTTTTTATAAAGAGTTTTAGCACCAGACTTTAAAGGTTACGCAAGGCACATAAACTAAAGTGATTATCACTTCTATTAACTTACTAATCTTATTTAAAGCACAAAAAGACAATCCAATGATTATGTGAAAAAAGTATTGTTATAAAATTTGTATATTTTACATCTTATTTTTTTTTTCGTAATTTGGATTATACTCTAAAAATATACAATTTAATTTACAATCGAATACAGAATTGATTGCATTTTTCAAAATCGACTTTATAATTTTTTAAGAACCATTTCTGATTCTTATCTTCTTTTTTGCTTAAGCTTAAACTAATTAGTACTCCCCCTATTAAGTGAAAGTAATATAAAATATAATTTTAATAAACTTAAAATAATGATAATTAAGCGAAATTATGTGTCACTCTTCCATAGTTTAATGGTTTTGTCATTCTCCAAAGCTGCAGATGCAATAATATTTTCAGTTGGATGACAAGCGGTGCAAAGAACAGTATCAGTGTGACCGTTCAACTTCTGTACGACTTCTTTACTTTGCAAATTCCAAATGTAAACCATATTATCTTCACTCCCTGACACTATCCACTACAAATAAAATAACATGTTTATATTGCAGTGCACATATAGCAATAATATTGTTACTTACTTTGCCACCAGTAACTGAGAAGTTTGCAAATATGCAGTATTTTTCATTTTTATGCCCGGTATACGTTTTAAGACATTTACCTTTTGAATAGTCCCACAATTTCAATGTGTTGTCAAGCGTAGCGGCTAAAATATACTTGCCATTTGGCGAAAATTTCACAAAACTTACTGGAGGATTATCATCATCAATAAGCGTCTTTAAACACTGGCCACTTGCTGTGTCCCAAATACGGCACAGCCCGTCATAACTCGAGCTAACAATTAGAGATCCATCACGATTAAAATGGACAGCAGATACTGGATCTGAATGTGCGGGCAGTGTTTTTAAACATTTGCCAGTGCGTACATCCCAAATACGCACGCTTTCATCAAAACTACCAGATACGATTAAGTTGCTTTGGGGATTGAAATTGCAACAAAAAACGTAGTTACTGTGTCCTTTTAATGTTTTTAAACATTTTCCAGAACTAAGCTCCCAGATTTTAAGTGTCTTGTCATCGCTTCCACTTACAAGCAAACGAGAATCAGACGACCAAGCCACATCGCTTATGCCTAGCTTATGACCGGCAATAGTTTTCTCAAATTTTCCATCATAAGCCCCCCATATTTTAATAAGTTTATCAGCAGCTATATTTTAAATTAATTTTTTTAGAAATTTAATACAAATAAAAAGGTACAATAGCTTACATGAGCTAGCCAACCACTCTCCATTGGGACTAAATTTCACAGCTGAAACTGCTTTCGTGTGACCGGCAAGAGTAAATTTTAATGTGTAGTTTGGTTTCTGCAACATAGATTGAGTTTTTTAATATTTAAACATAATATATATGAGTGTATACTAACCACTGACAAAGATGTTTTATTTGATGGATTGTTGGACGAAGTTGCAGCGGCAGATTGCAAAGTATTTGGTCCAGTTGGTGCAGTCGGTATTGGTTGCGGTTGATGTACACCGGGATGATGAACGGGTCCAATTGGTACCATATTTTATATATTTATTTAAAATTCTTTACTTCTCAATTGTTTATGTCGCGTGTAGTAAATACAAATAAACACGTTTGACAGATCGGCGCGGCAAGGGGTATGTGAGCACGCGGCGTTGTTATTGTTTTGTTTACTGTTCAAAATAAAACTTTCTTATACTTTTTATATAAAACGCACTAATTATTTTTTATTTAGTTATAGAAAATTGCAAATACATACCTTTAATCTGCGTATTTGTGTTCAGAATGAATAATTATTTGGTTCTCCGTTCCTTTTCAAGTTTCTTTCGACAATCCCTTTCATTTGCCAGTATTGCCCTATAGCCATGAAGTATACTACCAAAAGTTAGCAATATACTACTACGCTTTAAGCATATATCTAGAAACATATCCATATGCTTGCCCATAATCAGCAATAATCATTGAAAAATCAAAATAAAATATAAATAATTTTGCATGCAATTTTGTACATCGATTTTTTAATTTTTGCACAAAAATAATTAAGTTACAAAATATATATTTTCAATAAAAATTTTGCAACCTTGCGCGTATCATAATTTAGTAAACCTGAATAAAATTCGTGGTGCCAGATCAGAAAACTTATTTGAACTTATAAAAAATATTAGTAATAATGAATTTTTCATAATATATTTTACATTTTGATATTATTTGATATTGTTACTTTTTTATTATAATACTATATGTACATAATATTGTTTTTAATTTTTTTATAAACACGCATGTAGCTAAGTGATTGTGTTAATATATACAATATATATATTATATATATTAATATAATATGCACAACATTTAATAAAAAAAATATATAATCTTGATTGTGTATAATTCAAAACTTCAAAATTTATTTTGATAATAAGTTGATCGTGATATTAAAAGCTTTTTGATGAATTGGATTGCTATTTGCAGATAACCAATATCTTTTTGATGTCTAGAATTTGGCAAGATTTTTAAATGCGAATGAAAATATATATTTTCGAATTTTGTTTGCAAACAAAAATCGTATGATTTATTGAAAAAGTGAAAGCATGTGAAAAAATTTTGCAAAAAAAAAGTCCATTTACTGTAAACACTATATATCCTACTAATTAGTTCTAATATATAATTAATCAATATAAATACTTTCATTTATGCCATTAATGTAAAGATTTGAAAACGAAAATTGTAGACCAAGCAAGTTAGATTGTAGATGAATCTTCTGTTATTATACAATAATGACTATATATAAACACCTTATTCAGTATAAAAAAGCATCCTGTGTTTGAGCTTATATTACTAGATAATCTTGACAACCATTTTACATTTGTGATTTTTTTTCGTCAAAAGATTCTTCAATGCTAAACACTTTTTATTGGTTTATATTATCCTCTTATTGTATTGCCTAATCACATACAGATCTTCCTTTGTTTATTCGAATCGAAAAGAGGTATGCGGCACAATATTACATTTCGTTGGAAAGATTGATATCTTACAAATGTTGGTGCGTCCAAAAATTTGTCTAGTTCATTTTAATTGTTTTCTAATGTTTACTTTAGAAAACGGATTTTGGGGAACAGTTACGCCATTGAACACTTATTAATCCAGTAACGTTAATTGAGACACTTAATTTATGTTCGATTTCATTATCATATCACTTACTTGACATTAAAATTATATAAATATTTGCATTCTCGCATATCCATCTTGGATTAAAATAAATAACAACACGCTTCTTTGGGGAAACTTCGGAGACCAGCATTCTAAAGAAAGACCAAGATATTCAACAAGTGGTTGATAATTACACCTCCAATCAAGCAAATCTGATAAAGTTATTTAAACACTCTATATCGAAACGATATGAGTGGAAAAATAATTTTCCCGACCTTTACAATCACTAGAGCTTTTACATAGATGGTTCCATAGATGGAATTTACTTAGTAAACAAACACTTTTAATGTATCGAACAGAATACCAGACTATACCAGCATATTTCTAACGAAAATGATATCACCTAAAGTTGCTGCAATAAAGATTTGCATTAAAAGTCGTGTTGCATTATTATTTAAAAAGGGGTAATGCACTGCGACCTGAAACACCTATTGTGCCACTTAGTCGGATTAGAGTGTTTCTCCAAGTCTGATTTCTTTAATGAAAGATAGTAATAGAGCCTATCTTGCCTAGTTTTAAATCCTTAGGATTCATGAAATGATTCCCAAGCACTTGGTATGCAGTTTCCCTCTCTTCTCTACAGTATCTGCAGTCTAACTTGGTTTAAATTTCTGACTTCGTTAGGTGATTATTCAGTCTACAATGACCGGTCAATAATTCCGTGATGATTCTTAGGTTATTTTTTGATTTCTCTATGCAATCTTTGAAGTCCCTTAAAGCATTTTAGATTGTGATAGTCTTAGTAGTCTTTTAAAATGGAGTTCTCTTTCTTTTTTTTCAACGCCGTTCATAAGAATGGATAGAGTTCCTTTGCCAAGGCCACAGAAAGGTTCTGGGCCTATCATTATTGAAGCTCCGTGTCTTCTTGCAAATTTGTCTGCCATTTCATTGTCATGTATACCAGCATGGTTCGGAATCCATATTAAGTGCACCTGATTGTTTCAACTTGACAAAGCACTCCCATACCAGTTTGGATGTTACCTGATAGAATATGAGTGCCATTATAGCTGCCTGACTGTCAGTCAGTGGTCTTACATATTTAGCATATATCTAGAATTAGATTAAATAGGTACCATTTATTATGATATAAATAATTTTTAGTTTGATTAGACTATAAAATATTGTCTTGGGGAACTCATGCTTTTATTTTATGGTCGCCAATAAATTCTTTGTCTTGTTTACTTAAAAGTAAGAAAAGTAGTAAAAATTTGTATTAATAGGCCTCTTACTACATGTTTAGCATATAAAACAGTAATGCTCTTTACTAGGTAATAATTAAATTATATTTATTCTCGTTGTACTGGCTTAGCAGTTAAGTTAAGGTAATTTTAAGGTTGCATGCCGAGACCTACGGGTATGAATCTTACATTAAACTGATTTTGACATTACTTGTTTCGGTTGCCAATTAAAATTCAAGACGTTGCGTTAAATGCTAATTTTAATGCCGAGCCAGTATTCAATGCATGACAAAGCTTTGTTTTAATTTTGTAACGTGTTTCAAATGTACTTCAGTAGGTTGACTTGTGGGTTATTATGTTGAGCTTCAATGTCAAGACTACATACAGAAATCCAAAAGACAATAAATCTTCGGAAGAACAAAGTTTTCTATTGAATGGTGGACTTAATGAATGAATGAATAAATGAGTTGGTTAGAGTGCGGATATATAATTTTACTTCATAAATATATAAAATTAGTTTAAACTAAATGTAAGACAAGAGAGAAAACAGTTTGGAATGAAAAATATATGTGAAATATGTAAAAAATCTAATCGGCATTTGTAATTAAAGATCACTGCATAAAGCCAAGATCTGCGCTTTAAACTCAGTTCAACTGAGTTTGCATTAAAATACGTCGAGCGGTTGGATCACGTTTTCAGTTGCAGCTTGAATGCGAAACGGCGCGGTTGGAGTCGCAACAGTCCAAACAGTTAAAACAGTCAAAGTTTCTAGTGGTTTCAGTGGACATCTGGTGAAACAATAAACAACTTTAAAACAAGTGCTAAAATCATTCAAGTCAAAACAAAAAAAATAAAAAACAAAAAACTATCAAGAAAGTTAGCAGTAATAAAAATGTTAACACAAGTGTAATAAAAATGTAGTACAAAGTTACTGGGCTGTGATCTGTAATTTGTTGTAAGAAATTGTGGCAGCGAATCTTGTTTGGTTACAATAAAAAATAAAAAAACTAAAAAAAATAAAAAAACTAAAAAAAAATAAAAATAATAAAAATAAAAAAATATTATACGTAATTCATTTTCGAAATAAAACAATAATTTTATTTATAAATTTTTAAGCAATTTTTAACACATCAGTTATTTCTACAAAAATATTAAACTAATTAAACAATTTTAAATTAAAAAATTTGTAAAACATTTTGTTGTTAATGATAATTGTTTAAATAAAATAGTCAGTAAACATGGTTGTCATGCCCGATGTGGACGATTTGGTTAATGAACTGCAAAAATGGCTGAAGACTCAGACCCATTTGCCGCAAGGAATCGGTATGTGCGTCAGCTTTTAATTGGTTTTTAATAATATTTTAATAGTATCTAATGGTTTTTTAATACTCATTTACACTAATCATTTTAATTAATATTTTATGCATTGCTGCAGTTTAATTTGCATACGAGTACATAATATGATCGCAGTGACAGAAGCTGAATTTTAAATAAATATTTTTTGTGAAGTCTACAAAAATTTGAGCAATTTAGTTAGTTTTTTTTAAAATATTTAACTAAATTTAGGTAAAAATGTAAATTCAATATTTGTAAAATTTAATTTTTATAAAATTTTACATATAAAGAGGTTTTTTTTTCCAAACAGTAGTGAACTACAACAACAAAAATTCATTTTATATTATTTTATATTATATTATTTTAATCAATTGAATTTTTGACTGACCATATAGCTGTTTCGAGTATTGCCAAATACCCATCAGCAATGGTCTTGGAAATAATTCTTGTATTTAATTATTCGTAAATAATAAAAATTTTATTTAGTTAAAATGAACCATGAAATGTACACCCAGCATTTTAAACAACCTGTGATGGTGCATAAAAAATTTACTTAATAATTCAGCAAATTTGTTTTTAAAATGTCATAGTATGATTGTCTTTTTAAATAATATTTGCTGACTAAAAATTCATGTAATTTGATATATAATACTGAAGAGTTTAAAAAAAGAATTTACTGAAACTAGGGCACACAGGTGCTGGGTTTAAGTCCCAATAAACTCTACTTTAAGCATATGCTTTAAAAAATCTTTAAAAAATGTTTGGTATCTCTGCCTCAGAAAAAAAAGTTTGAAGTACTTCTTAAATTCACAAAAATTTCTGTTACTTACTTACTTAGTTGGCCATTACAGACGTGGGTCGTAGTCTGCGCCAGTCAGCCCGATTAGTTGCTTTCTGACGCCAGTTGGTAACCGAGCACCTCCAAATCGTTGGTCACCTGATCCTCTCACCGAAGATGTGGAAGTCCTCTACGCGGCACCTGCAGATACTGAATCAAATACCTTTCTAGCCTGAGCAGTTTCTTCCATTCGCACGACATGACCAAGCCAGCGTAGCCGCTGATTTTTTATGCGTAATTTCTGTTAGAGAATCTAAATAAAAGTTTAGCTTTATTCGGAGTTCTTAGGAACTAAAAGATCTATGCGTGCCTTATGGCCAGTGCCATAATGAACCTAATCTAGATTGTTTTCTATTACAAAATTTAGCTATATGGAATATGTTATAGTACTATTGTTAATTTTGTTCCTTATTTCTGCAGAGGGACAACATCTTACTTTGATTTGACTTCCAAAAATTTGACGGAGACTGACGATTTTAAAAATTCTTAGAATATTCAAGTTCGTATGGATCGCTCTTTACATGCTGTCAAATTACAAATTTGTTTCATATTGAAAATAAAACAAAAAAGAAAATATTTAAATTTATATATTGTACATAAAATATTTATTTATTTATTTATAAGTTATTAAAATTAATTTTAAAGTTAAATAAGGAATAAGAAACTGGACTGCTTTACCCTAAAATAAATTATTATATGTATTATACATATAATATACTAGGTGTACTCTGTATGCTAGGTCTCACAGAAAACAAATGATTTCATGTGGAAATTTCTAATTTATATCATATATGATACATTTATATATACACATATAAGTAAAATATTTAAATCGATGACAATCCCAGAAATAACTGATCTTAATCCATATTGGTTCGTCTATTATAAACTTTACCATTATTAATAATTGAATATTATAATTGTTAACATTATTTTTTTAAGAATAATTTATTTAAATTATATATATAAATAATATATATAATAATAATAGATATATTCTAAAAACCCTTGAACCTTCTTGCTATTGTCTAGATATTGTGTAGAAATTTTCAATTAGGCAACTTACGGGTATCCTACCAGTAAAAAATATATAGAAAATATAAATACTTTTTACAATATATACTTTTTGTTGGTCTAATATATACAATTTACTTCTTTACAAAAAACATGTTAAAATTCTACTTGTTATGTGCACAACCTAAACTCTCTTTGGTTTGTTGAGGGATTTACATATTTCTTTCATCACAAAAGATATATCTAAGATTTAATGTAGTAATGCCTGTAGCCTGTAATCCAGATGTATTCTCACGTACTTCACTGACATATATTGTTGAGTTATACTATTCTTGAGGTTAACTTATGGACTGCTGTAATTGTAGATATTACGATTCTTTGGCTGGATTTTTATCATTTGGTGCAATTGCGGTATCATCTTTTTTGTAATTTACACAGGCACTCCAAACACTGTTAAAAAAAATTCCGGTATTGATAGATCAAAGTTGTGTAGGCAAATCTACATATACAAAATTGATTAATAAGAAATAATTAAAAACTTAAGAAGTGATGTGCGAAAAACATATTTTAAAAAGTTTAATGGATCACATTAAATACCACAGTTTACCATAATATTATATATTTCACTGTTCATCTGTTATTAAAAGTGTTACCATAACTGTACGATCTCATTGCTGTATTGTCCTTGGTTCTCTTTAAACTCAAATGGAGGTATTGACATGATTCTAAATTCATTCAGTAGCGGTTATAGTGTATTGGTTGAGGAATATCCGACACTGGACTGGGTTAAGAACGATTGGAGACTTGGTACATACTGCTAAAGATAGAGAGAACAATTAAACTTTTATTTAAACAATTAAAGAAGTGGAAAGATGAATATTTAATTGTTGATATAATACGTTTTGAATAATAATGTTTAGTTTTAATTCACAAAATTTAAATACAAGTCTTTTTCTTTGTAGTAGAATTGTCTCCAAGAAGATTTCATATGATCTATGACAGATCTAAATACGATTAATAGTTGTTAGTGTAAGTTATATTATAATATTTCAATAACATTTATACATATTCTTTTATTTCGTGGATAGTACAAAAAATTGGAAATTTATTGTATTTTGCAGTTTATTTAAAAAATATTTATTGCTTGACCTATGTAGTTTTTACATAATCTTATGGATCAAACTACATATTATAGTTTTATATTGTTTTTATTTTTTGTTTGTTAATATCATTTACCATTACTTCTTCAATTCCTTCATCTTCATTACTTCTTCAATTCCTTTCGGAAAATTTTTATTTTTATTTTTCATATTCCATACTGGAATATCTCCCATCCCTAAAGAACTATTGACCTTCTTAGTCAGCATTGCAGAATAAATTATATAAATAAAAGCATTTACTTGGGCATTTGGAATACTAATACGCAGTATTGCTAGTTGTTTTTGATAGAGCATAGCAAATTTATTTATAAAGTCAAAAAAAAATGTATTTTCCCATGTAAGCTTAATGTTTAAATACACGTTTTAAACCGGATATTCGATTGTAAGTACAAATTAATTACTATAATTACTATTAATTCAACTATAATTATTTAATTTTTTTATATTAGGTGTCTAATTATCTAAACGTTGTATGCTCTAAAATATATATCACTAAGAGATTATTACTCTAGCCTTACTTAATTGATAATCTATTTTATCTATCACATAGTATAACATATTGAATATTTTTAAGTAAGAAAGACTGTTTCTTTAAGATTTCCTACTTTCTATGTTAAACGATATTAAGTTATATATTGTTTTATTTATAATTTTTAATATATCATGTAATATTTAAATATTAAATTACATACATGGAACGATTATATAGTTCTATAATTTTTATTTTACTCTTTTGGTCGATGTTTTGTTTAAAGTTTGCAAATAATATGCAGAGAGGTACATGTACCAGACTGTCTTAGGTAAAGAACGGTTCACTTAGGACCATTATGATATACAGATTGTGTTCTCAATTCATTTATTTATATTCTGTCTCAGCAGTAAGTTTTGTCTGCATTGGATATATTTAATTCATATCAGTATTTTTTTCAGAAATTCCTATTCCTCTGTATTAAACCCTGTTGTTATTTAGGTTATATTAGGCATAAAATATAGTTATATCGGCGATATCAAGGTATCCACTTAGGCCTACACGGCCATTGCGATGCCGTATAATTAAAAACTCAGAATTTAGAACCACTTAGAACCTTTGGCAAAGCTTATAATGCTGTTCAAGGGGAGGTCTTGCAGTTCACCAATATTCTCAACACAGAAAGCCCCTAAAGTGGTAAGGAGGCACCGCGTATGTGCTAGACAGAAACATAACACATGGTAGGCATTTTCATGGTCCTCTCCTCATCTGCGGCAGATGTGATTGAAAGGAAGATTTAATCTTCTAGCATGATTACCTAAAATGCAGTGACCTGTAAGTAAAACTACTCTAACACTGATATCTCTACGGGGCATCTTAATAAGAGACTGTTGTTATTTAACTATTTAAGATTTTAAATATCATATTAAGTAGGAAAATTGTTCTTTAATTTTTATAAATGTTTTTTCTTCTTCTAATATATGTACTTATTTAACCACATTTAAATTATGATGTGACTTATATATATTTAAGATGCTTAGATTCTATTCCACATTAAAAATATTAACTAATTTTTAGTTCTGATATTTGTAAGTTGTACAAAATAACATTTCTCTTATAAGTGAACATTAAAGCCATTAATATATAATATTCATTTTAATATATTATAATATTATATTATTTAATATATTAATTATATTAATATATTATTTTAATATATTATCGTTTTAATATTTTAATATATTAATATTATTTTTAATATATTAATATATATTAATATTTTAATTTAAAGATTAAAAATTATATATAATTTTAATTTAAAAATAAATATTTAAGTATATATTAAATTTTAAGATTGTTTGAAATACAGGCGGTAATTAAAGTAATTAGAAAATTAAGTAAGGAAATATTTTTTAAAAATTTTAAAGAAAAATACTGCTAAATATACTTATATAAACATTTTAATGATAGGAAAAAACTTCGACAACTTACACCTATATTTAATATTAGTATGTTAGATTTTTATGTAGTATTTATAGTTGAAAAAAATTTAATTATTGTTATTCTAACTTTATAATGAATGCAAATAAAATTAATAGCTATTATATTGCAACAAAAACAATAATTGAAAATTGATTATATATATGACGTTTTAACGTTGACATATATTAACGTTTTTTTGGAATTAATAGATTTAGTATCTATTAGCGTGAGCGTAGTCAAGGGGGATTATGGAAGAATACACAAAATGATATTGAAAATTAATTATTAAACTAATAAAATAATTAACAAGTATTGTTCTTTGGCCAACCACACTCTTCTGCCATCCTTTTGGGATACGTTTATGCCTATTACTAATAATTATTTGAAATTAGATAAATTTTTTGTCAATAAGCAAAATTATTAATTTCTCAAAATTTAAGGTTTTATTGTAATAACGCATACCTAAGTTGGAAGCGAAATGAAATAGTAACTATATCTAATCTGAATCAAATTTTAAAAACCTACCATTAAAAACCTACCTACCATCTTTGAACATTTAATACAATCACGTGTTACTATGTTCGTAACATTAATTTCCAGAACCACGCAAGCAATTTTTATAAGCCATTCAGTTATAATTCTTATATGGTTTGTAAGTAGAAGACTATAAATGGTTTCATTTTTATATGACTACTTGCAATTATTTTAATGTAAACGAAGTATGCATAAGTATATATATATAATAAATATATGTCATAAATATAATATATATAATGAATACATGTCATAAATATAATATATATAATAAATACATGTCATAAATATAATATATATATAAATAAGTGAATTAAGCAAAAGATGTGGTTGACTGTTATTTTAGAATAGAAATTTTATTAAAATTCAAATATCTGTTTCTTTTGCATCTGATTAATCAATGTAGAAAAATTTTAAATATTCTATAAATAAGTATATATTTTACCAAAAAATTTTTTTATCTGACTATACAATTCAACCATGAGTTCGTTTTTGTACCAATCAATAGAGATCTATGCAATCAATCATTATCTTTCTATACAATTTCTGTGATGGACTACTACGCCCCGGTGAAGTAATGAATACTTGTTAGTTGATTATCTGATGCGACATATCAATCAGCGTTGCCATGTCAATAATGTTGTGTACTCTAGTTTGAGAAATTTTATATTTGCTGTCGATTTTTGTCATATTTTTTATATGTATAAACTATATTTCATATTATTACTATGTTACCAGAAAAATATTTTAAGTTCTCATTTTGCATTTTGCCGTTCTACTAATAATCAGAAAAAGATTCATGCTCAAACTGAAGCTTTTGACATGGGTTTGTCTGGTGAAATCTCGTCTGTTCCTCAAAGTGAACGGGACTCTTAATCCATTAGAAATCAACTAAGAGTTGATTCTTTTTTGTTTAATATTGTTTTAATTCATATTTATATTATATTACAATTTATAATTGTATAATACAATTTCACAATATTTAGAAACAAAAAACGATTCGCAGCCTGAACAGATTTACTATAAATTGTTTTGAGATATTGACATAATGGTGCCTTTGCCGATACTAAAAGCAATCAACTAACCTTGATTGGTAACCTTGATAATCCTAAAGATCTAGCGGGGTATTTCTACATAAGCGGCGGAATCCTATGAGGTTATCGTAGATTTTGTAAACTAGTTCATTAAGGTGGTGTCTTAAACTTATCTTTTAGGTGTTATACTATTAGGCAAGTTTTAGTACCGATCAATGGACATTTGTGGTTTCAAACATTGTTTTTCGAGAAAATTTTCTCGAGACTAAGAGTAGAGATTTAACTTATCTAGTAGGTATTAAAGTAACAGTTTTGTTTTTAATTTTTTTTTTAACTTGGTAGTTCCATCATTTGACGCCTTAGTTAGTTAGTGTGGTGTCTTAAATTTGTTTGGTAGGTGTTATACTAACAGAGTAGCATCTGTGCTCGTTTAACAATCAGTTATTGTCTCTTTCGAAAACTTTCTGGAGACTTAGAGTGATGTTTTGACTTGTCGTGTAGGAGTTAGACTAACAATTCTGTTTTAAATTTTTTTATTTTACTGTTTATTGAGGTGGTGGTGGCGTCTCAAATTTGTCTTGTAGGTGTCATACAAACAGACAAGCATCTGTGCAATCAGTTATTGTCTCTCTAGAAAATTTCCTCGAGACTTAAGATGATGTTTTAACTTGTTTTTGTCTTTTACTATGCAGTTCTACTATTTGGCGAACTAGTTTGTTAAGGTGGTGTCTCAAATTTGTCTTGTGGATATTAGAGTACTAGAAAGTTGGGCTATGCTTTAGTACCGATCAATGGACATCTCAGCAAACATTTACTGTCTTTCTCAAGAATTTACAGATGAGTTAGAGTGCTGTTTTAATTCGTCTGGTAGGTGTTAGCGGGTATCGCATCAATAACAGTTCTGTTTCTTATGTATAGTTTTTAGTGTATGGTAGACACTACTAATTCTCATTCTATGCCATTTAACAATTTTAGAGACTAGTTCTGTTTCTTATGTATAGTTTTTAGTGTAGACACTAGTAATTCTCATTTAACAATTTTTGAGACTAGTTTCTATTGAGATAAATATACATAAATATACATAGATAGATATACAGCTGTTGCTAGATCAATTTGTCTTATCGAATGTATCAGAGTATATACGCAGGATCTTTTTTATTTTTATTTTTTTAAGTTTTATATTATATTATATATGTAATTGATATCCATGATGAATGTAGAATACAGTAATAGTTTATTGAAGTATTGAATACAACAGCACTTTGGTAATAGTGCTTTATCTTTGAAAAGCTTTAATCTTTAATCTTTGAAAAGCTGATAGGTTATCTTCGTTGTGCAAGGTTTAAAAATTAAATAACCTGTGGTATTAGATTAACAGCAATTTTGAAAGATTAATTTTAACTTACCATAGGATTATTTCAGCAATATTAAAAATTGTGTTGAAATTGTACATTAAAAAATGCAATAAAATATACACAACAAAAAAAAAAAAATGAAATTCAAATTAAATTATGAATTGCATAAAATTGCATATGTGCAGTTGCTAATAACATGAAATATTTTTACGAAATTTAACAATTGTTTTAATATATTTTGGTTTATTTTTTTATTGCAGAAAAGATATTACTGAAACGTTTTCTGTACTCAATGTCTAATGACTTGGAGGGAGCGAAACGGCTCATTGAACTGAATTACACATTGCGCAACAAGTATCCGCAAATATTTCTGAATCGTGACCCAACAGATGAGAGCTCTGAGCAACTGCTGCAAGTGGCGTAAGTACCAAGAGAAGTGAATGAAGCTGGAAAACGAGTTTCCATGAAAATCTTTTTTCTCACATATTCAATACTTTTTTTTCAGTTTTCAGTTTCATTGCTTGGAATTGTTTATAGTTTTAGTTTTTCTTAATATTTTTATTTTCATTTTTGTCTTTTTTTTTTATTTCATTTTTGATGCATTTTTTCCTGTTTGCATAAATAATTTTTTTTATAATAATTTTTTATGTCTACGCGCAGTGATTTAGTGCCGCTACCTGGCTTAACACCACAGAAGAACAAGCTGCTTTTTTACCGACTGATCGATTACGATGCAGACAAGGTAAGTAACTTTTTGGCCAGTTGAATGCGATGACATCTTTAATGATGAAGCCTTGACTGAAAAATTTTTTTCTACTTAAGTGTGTCACAGAATTTAAGTTTTGATTCTCGTATTGCAACTAAAGTTGAAAAGCAATTGTTCGTGATACTTTTGCTTAAAAAAGTATTTTTTATCTTTTAAATTGGATTTGGTTAATTAAATACCTTAAATTAAAGATATTTTTACAATTTAGTAAATTATCAGCCATTTTCAGTTTCAAGCTTCTGTGTGCAGTCGAGTGTATTACGGCGATTTTTCAACCAATCTTAAGTTTTTCAACCAAGTTAAGTTTTTGGTAATTTTTTTTTTTTTTGCAAATTATGTTTATAAAAAATTATTTAAAAGTCTTTTCGATAGCTGTCTGCAAAATTTTTCATTGAGATTGTTGATTAACCAATTCGTGAGTCAAATTTAACCCAAAATTGCTGTTAATTAACTTGTATCACTAATATCTGCAAATATAAATAATTTTCATATGCAAGTTGTTTAGATAAATTTAAAGTTATTGACAAATTTTGAAATTTAGAATTGGTTAAGATATGCAAAAATAAATTGGATTTTAGTTGACTGTGAAATATAATTAACTTCGAATTAAGCAATATATACATATACATTATGGACTAGTATTAATGAATTTTACGTAATTAGAAAAAAATAATTGAATTTATTTAAATTCAAATATGACGAAAGAACCACATTTTAAATTGAAAGGTTTAAATAGTATAAACCAGGTCACTTTATAGAAACTGAAAAACATAAAATATTTAAAATATTAATTATTGGGATTAAAATAATTGAATTTATTTAAAATCAAATATGATGAAAGAACTACTTATAAAATGGAAAGGTTTAAATAGTATTAAATTGCAACAACAAAAATTTATGAAATTTATTTTTATAAGGTCCATTATAACGAAAGAAACCAGGTCTCTTTATAGAAACTGAAAAACATAAAATATTTAAAATATAGATCATTGGGATTAATATAATTGAATTTATTTAAAATCAAATATGATGAAAGAACCACATTTTAAATTGAAAGCTTTAAATAGTATTAAATTGCAACAACAAAAATTTATTAAATTTGATTTTCAATTATGATGAAATTATGACGAAAGGAACAAGGTCTCTTTATAGAAACTGAAAAATATGAAATATTTAAAATATAGATCATTTGGATTAATATAATTGAATTTTATTATTTATTCATTAATTAAAGTTTGCCTGACCATACAACTGTTTCGAGTATTGCCAAATATTCATCATCATAAGTGATCTTTTGGAAATATTTTTTGTATTTAATGAATCGTAACTAATTTTATTGAGACTCAAAGTACCAGGGGTTGCACTCGTGCCCTGTCTAACATAAAGTTCAGAGTCACTGTTAATTATCCAACTGAGCCAAAAACGTACTTAACTTTTATGTTTTTACTTGAAGTTTTGTTAATTTACAGTGAAACCAGTTACAGACTAATTGAATTAATAAATTTTAGTTAGTTTTAATTAATAGAAAATATTTTTTATATTTCAGTTTTAATTAAAAACAAAGTAAATACAAATTTTATTTATAAATAAACAACAAAAATTGTTAGATCTCTAAATTTGAATAATACGTGCACGTTGCCTTTGTATATTTACACGTATGGCCACGATTTAAAATTGACAGGGTTCTATTCTTGACAGTTGCAAAATTATATATTTACTTACTTAATTGATAATTAAGTAATTGATACTTAATCGTACTTTAGTTCGGATTAGTCCGTAACTAGCCCGATCAGTTGTGTGCTGTCCTCAGTTGGTAGTATCAAATATCCTTATATCGTTGATCAACTGGTCCTTCCATCGAGAACCTCCGAGTTTTTTACAAGCGGGTGTCGCATCAAACACCTTTCTAACTAAAGCACTTTCGTTCATTCGCATGATATGACCAAGTCAACAAAACCGCTAAATTTTTATGCGCTTAAATATGTCAGTATTGCGGTATAACTTTTAAGGCTCATCGTATCAATTAATTCGATACTTGTTGCCTACGTAACAACATAGATCTTCAACATAGATCATAGATCTTCTGAAGAAATCACTGATAGAAAATGCAAAATTATGTAGTCCTTACAATTATATATGGACAAATATATCAAAAACAATTATCAATAAAGACCACTAATGATGTGTTTTGGTAATGCTTAAAACATCAATAATCGTTAACGTAAATAATTAATTAATACTCTAGAGTTTTGATAAATAGATTTATTTTCAGATTAGAATTTATTTAAATTTTATCATAAAAATCTGATATCAAAAAAAATGTACTTTAGAGGTTAACGTCTTTTTTGAAAATAGAATAGTATTTGGATGAATTCAGTCAGAGCATACGAATACCAAATCTTGAAGTTGTTTAACCAACAACCCATGGTCGTACACCGCTTGGTATATGCTGCGCCACTTTGGAATCAAGTTATTCATTAAGACGACTTACATCTATCTTCGAATTTAATTTAGTTTATAAATTAAAACAGTAATTTATGTATTGACAAGCACATAGGCAGTTATACATGTAGTTAAACCAAATTATTTTAACAAATTGATCATTCATATATATGCCTTTCTTTCACCTTACTAATATACTTACCCTCAATAAAATTTATTTATATAAATAATTTTACTTTTTTCTTTTAGTTCGATTTTACAACTTCGATTAAAGTTTTCTTTATGATGGCTGATTGCCGCTTTTCTGTTGAGGACGAAGCTGGCATGGCAAATGGTGAAGTACCAATATTTGATATGGCAGGTTTTAGTCTGCGGCATTTAACAAAAGTGGTCTTCAGTTCTTTACGAATTTATATGAAATTTGTGCAAGAAGCACATCCTGTACGGCTCAAAGAAATCCACGTATTAAACTGTCCATCATATCTGGATAAGGTCCTAACTGTGGTCAAACCATTCATTAAAAGTGAAGTTTTTAAATTGGTAATAACAAAAGTATTAGTTAACACTGAATGAAATGAATGATATCTTTTGTTTTTTATAAATAGATTAATTTTCATTTGCCCGATGCTGATACACCTTATAAATTTTTCCCTCAAGATATGTTAGCAGAGGAATATGGTGGAAAAGCTGGAAAAATGACGGAACTCAAGAAACATTGGGTTGGAATACTTAAAGAAAAAAGGTAAGGTGTAATATTACAGAATAGTCATATGTGATTAATTTTTGTAAAATAATTTGATATTTTTTCTTAATAATTACAATAATTAGTTGATGTCTTCAATGGCAGATATAAGAAAAAATTATAGTCTTTTTAAAGATTATAACATTTAAATCATGATACATTGTTTCTTGCTATTATTATATATGTAATATATTTATGTAATATATACAATATGATTCTAATCATTGATGTGATTAAATTCTATCTTCATCTTTAACTATAAGTTATATATAATACATATATATATTATAATTAATATGTATATGTAAACAAATTATAATCACAATTATAATTATAATTAGTTAATATGAATAAGGAAATTTTTAAGCAAATAATAAATTACTATATTATTAATCTTATTAATATTTTATATTTTTAGGGAATACATGATGGATCCAAACAAGTGGAAAATTGACAAAGCAAAAAAATCGAGCGGATCAAGTACCTTTAATTCTTTAGATTTCGATTAAGATGTCAACGTTAATCTTTAATTTTTTTTTTATTTGGTGTTTTATGTAAATATATAATTAATAATAATCTCTTAAGTAGTCATTTGTTATATTCAATAGTAGTAAAAGTTTTTATATATGGTACCTTTCAGTAGTTTATTAATAATATTTTTTATTAATTGTTTGCATTAAACTAATAAACTAATTTAAACTTTATTGCAAAAGGTTAGTAGACCTGTTAGTAGATTAATCATTGGAATAAAGTATTCTATATATATATGTTTTATGTATAGAAAATTTTCGATCGTCCTAACAAACAAATATTGTTGTTGCTGATGTTATAAGCAGCGGTTTCGAGATTCAAACCCATATGCTTCTTCAGACTCCATTCAATATTAAAAAAATAATTACACTATGAATTGTTATCATAGCACACAAAAGTGTGTATTCTATTGGACTACTCACACTATAAAAAGGATTATTGTATTTATGGGCAACTGTAGTATGACTTTCACAGGGTTGAAAGAGTTTCTCATATATAAGTGAGACAATTAGATATATGTAAGTTGGAGATATTTGATTCTACGTTTAGGAAACCTCAAAATCATATTAGTCATATGCTTATATTACCACAATAAAAAGACGAATTAAAAAAAACTAGTCCCTTAGTCCCAGAAAGTCCCAGAGAGACTCGTTGTAAATAGAGTCTCTACAAAGTGATTGTTGAAATTGAGTTTACTACATATCTTAAAAAATGTGATTAAACTGAAATTTATAAATATGTATAAATATGTAATTTGATAGAATTATATATCATAAATGCAATTTTAAAATTTATTAGAAAAAATAAGTTCAATTAATTGGTTAATAATTCATGTTTAACTAGTGGCGTATGCAACAAATTTCTTGGAGTCTAACAACACCCCTAAAATATTTAGGACTACTATACACTAAATTTAACAGATGTTTTCATATCTTTTGTCATGATCCCCTAATCGGCTGTGTTCAATTTAACCCTTCAACAAATCTAAGACTGATATTGTGGTATCCCAATGAGAATGCTCGATTTTTTCTTAATAGAATGCGGCCAACTTGCATACAGATGCCTGCATATCTTTGAATTGTATAGTATTTAATTTATTTTTTATTATTTAAAACAATAAATATTTATTTTTTTATAACTAATTATTAATATTTTAGTAATATCAATATGACTTCAAATTTTTAGCAGATTCCAGTATAAAAGAACGCTTTATGTGTTTTCTAAAGTAGTTGTAATAATACTCTGTCTTGAGGCAGACTTTGACTTTGAAGAACTCAACAAATTTAGAAACGTCGGCGATATTTATATAGAGGATTATATAAAAGTAAGTATGAAATCTAATATAATATTCTACTTTTACTTACAATCTAAAAATTAATTAAATCTGATATTATATGTCAATTATATCCTATATATAATATATACATTTAAATATTTGATTTGTTGGTTGAGTTTGGTGTACCTCAATTAGCGTTTTTTCGCCGTTTTGCTATCACATTCCTCGCAAGAACCCTAGTATAGAAGAGTAGCAGAGGCGAGGCGTCGAATGGTTCAGAGTGTTCACTGAACACCTTAACAAAGCTTCCTTTTTAGATTTTTTTTTATTAGGTAAATAATCTCGCTATATTGCTACTTAACATTTTTTATAATAGCTTTTCCAAACAGATTAACATAAACACAAAACGTAGAATACAAACAAAATCACACATGTGTTAGTTACACCCAACATTACTTACAATTAATAAAAGAGAATACACAGTCCTCTTAAAATATACTAAGGTTCAAAATTAAAACTGCACCGCGTTGCTTACAAAGCATGCAAATGAAATAACATTCACATTGGGACTATGTTCAATATTGAATACACAACACAAAACATACAAACAAATATATGTACGTAAAATAATCTTAACTCTTAAATTAATGCGTGCAAGCAGTTCAATAAAAAAAGTGCACTTCCAATGTTATGCAAAGTAAATACAAAAGAGAAAAGAAATGACTGAGCGAAAATCGCTTTACATTTGACGAGAGGATCATTCCACTAAACTGAACCAAAAGTTTATACAAAGCGTGCAAATACAATCAAAGTCACGGTTGCTGTTTTATATGGGAAAATGGTTCAGTATAAAAACTGAACCGGGCATTGTAAATACAAAGTAAAAGAGTAAATGAATGCATGAGAGTTTCTTACTCTTATATAGAGGTTGGAAATAAATCAATAACAAAGTCATTATTGCAATTTAATACTAGCAAATGGTAAAAGTAAAGAAAAAAATTAAAGAAATTTGAAGTGAAAAATAATATTTAGAAATGAATTAATGTGTGATTAAAGATTTGATTCAAATATCTTTTTTTTAACGATCTTCTGAAAAAAAGATTTTAATTCATAAAATGAATAAACCAACTCCAGATATGAAGAATTTGATACCTGTTGTAAAAATGTCGAAATCTATGGTAAGTCGTCGTTTTCCTACAGCTATAGCTTTATGGTAAATAAAAACCAGTGGATCACAGGCTGCGAACATTTAAATAAATTGTTTTATTGGTCTTGTACGCTATTTGCTTGCGGAAAGGACAAAACTTAGAAGTAGGGGGAATACGTTATAGTTGGAATTCTGTTTTGATTAAATTGTGAACACCTTGCCAAAAAGCTGACGCCTCGCTACTGAAGAGACAATGTATTAGGTTTCTTTCTCCTGCGGGTTTCCACAATTTTCGCAGTGAGGATTATGGGAAATGCACAGATTTTCTGCGTGAGTTCCTACATAACAATGACCAGTAAGAACTCCAGTAAGCCTTGCTGTGTTCACGCGGTCTCTTTTGACGACTCACACGACTTAAATGCTTTCCAACTGTTATTGGCAAGTTGCAAAAAGTAGAGGAAGAAATATTCACTTCTGCTAGAATTTTTAATAATTTCTTTTAAAATATTAAAAAAATTTGATAATTTATAATTGGTATTGTCTTATTTGTAAAATTATTCATGCCCACATATTTACTTAAAAAGTTCTGTGAATTATTCAACAGCCGAAAACTTTTTATAAAGTTTTCATAACAAATATTTTTTTCTTGAATTTAAATAAAAACTAAATTAAAGATATATAATATTCTGTTTTCATACTTGTAGATAACATTTGTTATTGAAAAAAATAATCTTTAATACCGCAACTTAATTCTGCGAATGTTTAAACAGCAAAGGTGACTGTGCATCTTCAGCTCAAAGGAGTAGGAAAATTAACACATTCATGAAATAAAAAGCACAAACACATGCAACAGACCCGCCGCAGTTGTGCACTTCCGTTTCCTACATTTTATTTCAAGTTCTTCCTTTACTTTTGTACAATACTCGTACTTCTGCCTGGCATACGCAAGTCGGATGAAAAGAATCGAAATTTGTATGCAAAAATATGCGGGCTGCGTCAGCATGAGCAAACACTTTCACAAGTAATGTCCTACCAAACTCGCTCAAACGGTTTTGCATAAAGAACTGCAACAAATTTAAGGATAACATGCTTCACAATGGCGCATTTAAATCAAGAGGGGCAAAAAAAACAAACAAATATGTGAACTTTTCCATATATGTAACATACCTACGTAGGTATATAAGTATTAAAAGATTGTAGTGAAGTACTTGCAAAACGATTAATCACGCTTTTTTATTTAGCTGACATTAAACAAAGAAATTGGTAGGATTTACCTTGTAAATGCGTGGAACGAACAATTATAGATAAAGGGGAATACCACTGAAAACAAGTGTGGGATCCGTTAAAAACACCGCATTTACCACATAATGTATTAAATGTAAATGAAGGTGTACTCGTAGTAGTCGAAAGCACCTACCCCCAAAAATAAATGTATTATGTATATATGTATACATGATCATAAAAATAAGGAATCATTACTATATATACATAATTAGACATTCAGAGCTCTTCTGATTCATTCAGCATAAATGCAAAACTCGTACTAATAGGAGGTAAAATTTTCAATATTTCTGCGAGTTACAGATTGTTTTAAAGACTTTTATCCAAAAAAAACATGCATAGAAAAAACTATTAATATCTCAAAAGCGGCTAATCCGCACAGATTTCTAAAACGTTAAATTTTCGAGATTGAGAACTTTACTAAAAAAAACAAAAAATTAAGTCAAATAATTGTCCTATCCTGAAAGTGGTTAATACGCGATGACTTCTCAGACGTTAGATTTTCGAGATTGAGAACTTTACTAAAAAAAACAAAAAAAACAGTCAAATAATTGTCCTATCCTGAAAGTGGTTAATACGCGATGACTTCTCAGATGTATTTTTTGGAAGTTTGATGGTTTTAGCAATAGGTGCAAAGCATTGAAAGCCACAGCGTGAAACTTGAAACTATTGAAACCACTTTTTAGGCAGGTATTAAGAAAATCTCTGCCAACAGACTGTAGAAGACATCAGACTGAAATCCCATTGTAGTGATCAGGAAATGAAAAATACAAAGCTTAGTATTATTGCTTCTCAGTCCTATGGCTAGGGTCAAAGTATAGGTTTAAGGATTTTTTAATCCTTTTAATCCTTTTTTATTGTGCAAACTTTTAGTGTTCGTTAAAACTGTGCATTAGTAATATAACAGAGTATATTGTGTATAGTTCTAGGAATCTGTGTTTTGAAACCTTGTAATATCATCACATTTAAGTTTAAAAAAGCTATAGCTAAAACTAATTATGTTAATGAAATTAAAATTCAGTCGTTTTCATTGGCATAAACTGATTTGTGCATGTTAAATAGCTTGTTTGTTTACATTTTACATACGTTTTGTATGACAAATCTTTCAAATTTCGGTAATTCCCTTGTGGGAAATTTATTTTTAAGGATTGCATTTGACATGAAACAAGTTGCTTTATTTTTAATAACCTCATTTATCTGGAATCTTTGTATCTTTTTATTGTAGGAATCTTTGTAAACCTTGTAATATCATCACATTTAAGTTTAAAAAAGCTATAGCTAAAACTAATTATGTTAATGAAATTAAAATTCAGTCGTTTTCATTGGCATAAACTGATTTGTGCATGTTAAATAGCTTGTTTGTTTACATTTTACATACGTTTTGTATGAC